GAATGATCCATTTCATCTGGCTGCCAGCTCACATCTGGACTTCTTAAAAAAGGGAAGGACTCTAAAACTTGAATAATTTGTTCATCATCCAGCTTGGGTGTACTCCTGGTCATGTCTGTGTGAGTCACATGTACGTCAGCGACAGTCTTTTTGCTCAGCTCCAACTCACCGATGAAAACATCGCTGATATGTTACTGGGTGTCATCTGTGGGGAACCCCAAACTTGTGCAAACAGCCGAACGTCTAGATGATCCTGAATCAACAGCTGACTGGGCCAAGTCATGCTTTGGGCTGATGGAAAGGTGGTCAGCTGAAATTCTTACCGGAAAGTCTCACGGTTAATAAATAATAATGTACAGAACACATTCAGACAAACAAGAGAAGAAGTATTTTCTGTGAAAATACAGGGAATGTTCAGAGCTGAATGACTAGCTACGGGCTAAAACGTGAGCTAAAATGAACAAAACACAATCTAAAAGCCAAAAAATTGCACAGTGCTAAAAGCTGAAACCTTCATTTTGAATTTTGTTGTTCTTTGTTTGACTGTTTTCTCTTACTGTGCGTGCAGCGTACTGTTTTATTCTGCTAAAGAATCAAAAGGTTACACTGAGAGTTTGTGCTAAAGGTGTCAGCTATGTCTGGAAGTGTGTTCTCTAATGAGACTGTGGTTCCTTGTATAAGGACCACCTGCATAGCACAACTCAGCATAAAAGGAGCTACTATTTCACTATATAAAGAGCTTTTCTTTTTCTTTTTTCTTTTTTTTTTAAACCAATCGACTTGCAACTAATGCCAAAGCAGTTGGGTGTGAAGCACGTCTGATTTTGACGTGTGACCTTAATCTTACCTTGGAATTCAATTCAGGTTGCAAAATTGCTGTCAGGTAAATGAGCACTGATATGTTCTGAGATATTAGTTTACAAATTATTTAAATTATTGGACACAAGAGTACACATGCTGATATCAAAACAAAAAAAAAAAGAAAGAAGTTAAGCACCTAGACTGTGGTGGAAATTAATCAAAACACAATGAAAGGTTGTCTGAATGTAATACAGTGATTATATCATGTGGGTAACAGAGTTGACACTAAGGGCACAATCTGGTTTCTGGTCAGTAGAGTGATGACATACCCAGATCACATGACAGACAAATTCAATCAACCACCTATCCTTCTGCAAAATCACAATGTGACCCCTATCAAACTCTGATGAGTGCTGACAATACTGCTAATGTTCTGCAGGATGTCCTCTGTCTTTGCTAACCTTTATTTAAGATTTTGACTGACTGTTGGATGATCTGAAAAATACCACTTATGCTCCGAACCAGGGCTAATCAACTAAATTGCTCAGGGGCCTTTCCATCCAGCAAGGAAACAAATACAGACAACCTATTTTTTTTCAGATTTTAATCTATTTTATAAGAATTTGACTCTGTGATGGATTTGCGAGCTGCCCAGGGTGTTCCCCGCCCCTCGCACATATGGGCATAAATGACATCTGAGACCCAGATAGGAGGAAGCAGGTACAGATAATGAATGGATGGATGGATGGATGGATGGATGGATGGATGGATGGATGGATGGATGGATGTCTTTGGCAAGGAGACTTACTTGTAAATGCCCTTTCATAGATCATCTGTGTAACAGGATTGCCACTCTGACTGGAATATTTATCATTCAAATAGAATATATA